CACTAAGAGGTGACGACGTTGTCGCATTGGAAATGGATACTGGAGATGCTCCGGAGGTGATCCTAGCAATGCATCAAATTGGAGTTGGATATGCGCCTATAGATCCTACTTGGCCTAAATTGAGGAAAGCACAGATTTTAGAAAGAACTCCAGTTATTCTTAATGTTTCGAAGGACACTTTAACTCATATCTCGCAAAAATCTTCAAAGAGAAAAAGATTCAAGTTCAATAGGATTTCAGCTGATGATATTGCTTACATAATCCATACAAGTGGCTCTACAGGTCCGCCTAAGGGAGTTGTATTGAGTCATAAGAACCTAAGTTCATTCCTACGCGGAGCTACGAGACAAACTTTGATGAGACCAGGTTACCGCATCTCTAATTCGGTGAATATAGTCTTCGATGTGAGTGTTATGAACATTTTCGCATCTTGTGTAAATGCTTGTGAACTCTGCATCCACGACAATGTGCGATATGCACCTTTTGAAGTGAAGGAACTGCAATGCGATTTTGCCTTCTTTACTTCTGCCACATTCAACGCACTGACCATCGAGGACCTACAAAGAATGACCTCATTAGAAAAGCTTTTTGTTGGAGGCGAGTCGGTAAATGACAGAATTTTAAGCAAGGCCCTCGAATTAGGCATTGACGTTACGCAAATCTATGGACCTACAGAAGATACTGTATGGTCTCTCACGAACAGATGCAAGCTTCTTAAAAATGAAGGTTCTTTGATTGGAACGCCGATGTTAAACGAGACCTGTTCAACAAAAGCAAACGTGTATGAGGGAGAACTGGTTCTAGAAGGTTCGAAAATAGCTCGTGGGTACATCAACGACCCTGAGAATAAGCAGTTCTATATTGAAAACGGGAAGAGATGCTACTCTACTGGGGATATAGTAAAATATGAACGCTACGGTTTTACGTTTAAAGGTCGCATTGATGATCAAATCAAAATTCGAGGACATAGAATCGAAGCAAAGGAGGTAGAACGTGCTATTCTCGTCTCATCTCCTGAAGTTTCCGAAGCATACGTTTTGCCTTGGAAAAATAACATAA